TATGATCTCTAACATTAAGATTGCATTTGATTTTATTAGCTTTTCAATCATCTTTGTTTGTCTGAAACTACTAGTAAACCCCCCCTCATATTAGAAGCCCCCCTGGGCTTCTAAAGTATCCAGCATAAAAATTTTTTGGAGGGGGCTTCTATTATGTCCTATGATTTTTCGAAGGTTTTAGGTACTAAAGTTTTTCAAAAGCCTTAATAGGATTTTCAGGGTTTTTTACAGATTTTTGAGGGTTTTGAAGGAGTTTTTGAGATTTTAATACGGTTAACTAAGAATTTAACGCATTTTTACCTTAAAATTTTGTAATTTTTTAAGTTTTGCTGTGAAAATACTAAAAAATGTTTTCAAAAAACTCTCAAAAAGTTTTTAAAATAAGGGGGCTTCTAATATGTCTGGTATATCGAATCCTTCAGAGGGGGCTTCTAATACGGGGGGGCTTCTAATATGGGATGGGCTTCTATTATGGGAGGGGGTTTACATTCTATCTCAGTGAAATTTTCGCTGCAATTCTCAGAATTATGGAAAATATTTTAGTCTTTTCTGGAACTTTTTACAAATACAGTAACCTGATATTTTAACATTGATTAGTCCCGACCTATGTAAAATTAAATGTTTAGCTTTTTGTTTGTTAGAAAATGAATTTTGACTATCTATATATCAGAGAAGCTTGGGTTTTTTTCATAGTATATCATGAAATCTTGCTATATTCTCTCTCGAGAGTGTGGGTGTGGGTGAAGATGTCTTCTCCGACACCCACATCCACACCCGCGCAAAATTTCAAAAATAAGTCCTTACTTAATCGTCCAACTGCGACTGTCAAAAATCCCGAAAGAATGAGCAAAATGTTTTAAATAAAAATTTCAGTAAAGTTTCAACTACTCCACGAAATTCTCTGTAAAATTCTGCATATTTAGATGGATATTTTAGATTTTTAAAAGGAATATTTGACAGAAACAGTTTTTAGAGAAAAAAAATGGAAAATTACTAAAAAAAAGTCCTTTTTTTGTAAACCACGCATCGTTTAATTTAAAACTTATACCATTTTGTTCAGAATTTAATTTTAAATTTGATGGCAAAATAATAAATATCTTATAAAGCGTGTCCGACTTTTGAAAATATGGCTTTTCCAAGGTGCACTAAAAAATATTGACAGGTGTTAGTTCCTGTTTATGTTCAATAATTTATACTTTAATCATTGCCCTTCATGAGCAAAAGCTTGCACAAATTAATAATTTTGCGTCAACAAGAAAAACTTTCTTTGAAAAACAAAATCAATAGTTTTGTAGAGCTTGAAATTCTTTATCTATGAATAGATAAAGAAATTTTCTATTTGTCCCAAAAATAGAAAAAAAATGCATTAACATTTTATCCAATTTATCATGTCCAACCTGTTAGTGAGTGAATATTTTTTTTGCCTATAAACAGTTCATCTTAGCAGAGGTTAAGCAAAGAACAACATATGTTAAACAATGATTAATAATGGTTATAGCAGTTAATCAAACATTTATTCGTTTATTTTCATAAAATACATTGTGTCGATATTTATTTAAAAACAATCTATAGTTGGAATAAGAGTGATAATAGCAATGTTTGTATAATCTTGTTCTTGTTTTTATATATATGTAGCGTACATCTCTATGAAAATGATTTTTCGTTTTTCAGAATATTCAAATATTCTCTATTTCTTGTTTTGAAATTTGATATGAGTCAAAATTAATTTAGAAAATTCAATTTCTATTAATAGCTTATTTGAAATCGAGATAAACCAATAAGGACATAGTGTTTTTACCAACGAGTGCAATGATCTTAGGATGTAGTGAATCAAATGAAGAAAATTCAATTCTATTATTATCATCAACTTTATTGTAGTACCATTATTTATCTCTTCCATTATTTTGAGCAACTCAGAAAACTGCAGCAATACAATTGACAAAGATGTTGAGCTCTTCGTTTCGTTAATGAAAAGAAAATAGTCAAAGAAAGATATAATTAAGATATTTCTTTTATTTATATTGATACTATTCGCAATGCATGATATTATTTGATGTCCTCTTAGTTAATTTGTAAGAAAATAACTAGCGATTCCTTTAAATTTGATGTTTTATCAAGTTTTTCCTATTTGAATTGTACCAATAGTAGAATAATTAATGTATCATTTATGCATAAATGAGCTAGACACAAGATTGATAAGTATCTTACAGAAAGTCTTATGAAAAAAGATAAAAGAAATATATATATATAAACGTGAATATAAACTAATCTTTTTGAACTCAAAAATAAATTGTCATGAAACGATAACAGAGAACAAAGTGAATATTGTGCGCTTTAGATCTAACAAAAAAATGTTTTTAATCATACACATTATCTTAATAAGTTAAAATAAAAAGAGAGCTCATTAGCATAGACTCAATTACTATTTGTACGATTAAAAAATTCAAAACATTCTTAAAGATCAAGATTTTAACTATCCATATGAATTTAGGAATATCTATATAATTTTTAATCACTACACCCAACATCCTTTGATACTTTTATTAATTAGTGGTTTTGAAATTAGGATAAATTGAAATCTTCTTCCCTAGTCAGTGTGTATTTACTGAATGTGGCTCAAAAACAAATGATGACCACTAAACCAATCTTACACCAGACCACACATCATCAACCTTTTTTTCCTCATACTTTTGAAAAAAATGTTTTTTACTGGTTTTTTTATTGTCTTTTTTCTCCTTAAGACGAAATTTATTCAAGAAAAAAATGAAAAAACAACATTAAAAAAAACACGTAAAAATAATAAATGTAAAGGATTTTCCTAAATAATGAATTTTTTTAATTTCAAATATCTATCTCTGTCAAATTCATTTCGTTTCAGTTAAACTTTAATTAAAGAATAAATAGAAAATATTTTTTCGTAAATTTCTTTCGAAAACGAAATAAAAGTAAGAATTATTTCATTTTAATTTTAATTTTTTTAATTTTAATTTTTTGAAAACGATAATAACTGCAAAAAGTGGAGATCTTTATTTGTTCTAAGTGAAATTGAAATTATTTGAATAGATTTGTTTTTATTCGATTTAAAAATAAATAAAATAATTCCATTTTTTTACTTTCATTTTAATTTAAATGAAATGTAATGTAATTTTATTGTAAATTAATAAAATTAAACAAATCAGAATAATTAGATTTCAAAATATGTACGAAAAAAAATTTAATATAAATTTTCAATATTTAAGAAAAAAAAATCACAAAAGCCCTCCTTATTATAATACAAGTTTACTTTTTTTTGAACATTCTATATCACAAGACAATGAGCTACAGACTCAAAATAAGTTTCACTAGAACATAGAAATCTCCTTAGAGGGTATTGGTGTGAATGTGAGTGTAGGTGAGGGTGAAGAGGATACCAACACTCATTCACATCCCACTCTTTTCTAAAACTCCACATCAATTTTAACTGCAGTGTGTTCCGCTCGAACCCCATACCACTCTGCTCCTTTTTTCTAAACTCCTACTCCAACTTCAATTTAACTTCATTTCGAGTCGAATTTTACAAAACTGAACTTCTGCCAAAACACTCTTAAATACACATAAGTTATTGAACATAATTAAATCTACGATTGATATAAATTAGTAGCATATTAATTTATTGCTTTATAAACTTTCTCATAAAATTTAAAGATAGACACCTCCATTCTGTCCTGTTCCTACTCCATTTTCACTCTGATAAGAAAAAGCATCAACTTTGGAGTTGGAATTGCTTATCTCTGATATCAACCATTTCAAAATACTTACTCTTCAGATCCTCCTGAACATATCCATAACATGCGAGCTTACAGAAGACTTCTCAGAACAAATACTACATAAGGATTATAACATGATCCTCATAGAAGATATTCATTATTTTTAGATTTTCAGATTTTGACAGAGTATCTTATTTAGTCACTAAGATTCTCTTCGAGGACCCTAATACAATGGTTTGAAGATGGTGTTTATCAAAAGTTAAAAATAGCATTTTAGAACACTTTCTTTTCAAAGCCCATAAAATCCATAGATCCCAATGTTTGTCACTGGAGGGCTCCGTTCGGATTGACATCCATCTTTTCAGCATTTGCAAAAGTAGAAGCCCTCTCAGATTACATAGATTCGCATGGAATCCTCTCAACTTTGTTCAATTTCGCCTGTATCCAAGCCTTCTCATGATCCTACTCAGAGTACATCACAGTTGTTCTTCGAACAGCTTCACATAACTTATCAAAAGTCTTATAAAATTTCACCAGCATTCTCTATACAAATACTTAGGAGATTCTTCGGCAGATCTATATTCATCATACAGAAAATCATGTATCCTTAAGGTTTCCTAAAAAACATAGGGATTAGGTTTGATATTTTGTTGTTCAACGATTCGATATTCTTCTCACAAGATAAAAATAGAATCTTCTCTGATGTCCATATAAATGATCATTCCGCCAAAAAGATTCTGAATTCTTGCAATTCTGAAAAAAATCCTCAGATCCTTATGTTTTTCTATCAAAAACTTACATAGAATTAGTATTACTCTTTCTTGGAGAACCTCCTTATAGCAATCTCAAGGTGTTATTTTTATGATCAAAAAGATCTTGGCAAGAACGAGAAGTAACATAGATGTAAGAATCGTTACCAAATCCTTTTTTTCTCATAAGAAACTAGGAAAAGACTTCTGAATTTTTATCTGTGGAATGAGCATTCTCAAAGATGAATGTCGTATTTCTAGTGCTTACTCCGACGAGAGACGAAATCCCTTCTACAACGACGATTTCTTTTCTTTTTCGGTCATTGTAGTAATTCTCAATATTCCAGTCGATGCCCGATGGAAACAGAATGGAGTGACTGTTGCTGGAGGTCATAGATGGGGCAGTGCCACCAATCAACTCTGCAGGCCCTATGGTCTCTTCGTTGATGATGATCAAACGATAGTCATCGCTGACTACGGCAATGATCGTATCATCCAATGGAAGATGGGTGATACGAATGGACAAGTAGTAGCTGGTGGTAATGGCCAAGGAAATCGATTGGATCAATTGAATTGTCCATTCGATGTGTTGATCGACAAAGAGACGGATAGTCTCATTATTTGTGACCAGGACAATCAACGAGTCGTACGATGGTCTCGTCGTAGTGGTACATCTCAAGGAGAAATCCTTATCGACAACATCGATTGTTATGGATTGGCCATGGATGATCAGAGATATCTCTACATCTCTGACACCGAAAAAGATGAAGTAAGACGATACCAAATTGGAGACAAGAATGGAACTCTTGTGGCTGGTGGCAATGGCGAAGGTGCTGGTCTCAATCAACTCAACTTTCCGATCTACATCTTTGTCGATCAACAACAGACTGTCTACGTGTCAGACAGGGACAATCATCGTGTAATGAAATGGAATAAAGGTGCAAAAGAAGGAATTGTCGTCGCTGGAGGTCGAGGCAAAGGGAATGCTCTGACACAATTGTCGCATCCTCAAGGACTGTTCGTCGATACATTGGATACCATCTATGTGGCAGACTCGGGAAATAATCGAGTGATGCGTTGGCCTAAAGGAGCGAAACAAGGCACTGTCGTTGTGGGTGGGAATGGTGAAGGAGAAGGAGCAAATCAGTTCAAGTTTCCCGACGGTTTGTCTTTCGATCGACATGGCAATCTCTATGTCGTCGATCAGAGAAACCATCGTGTTCAACGTTTTTCAATCGAATAGACTCGTCGTGATAGATTTCTTTTTGCGTTCCTTTCGTTTCAAATAAATTGCATTGAATTGATGAAATGAATGTATATTCTATTCGCGCGCGCGACCAGGAACCATCCTGGTGGAGCCGTGGCGAGCGTAACGCTCATGCACGCGCAGGACAGACTCATATCATTCATACCCTCCCAGCGAGAGATATGTCAATGAGTCTGAATAAGCCTGGTCGTGTGCCACGGACACCAAGACAGTTCCTGGCCGGGCTTTTAGGGACTACCCGGAAGTCCTTCATAAAAGGCGAAACCCTAACCCTCAACTGGCAGAACTCACCCTCATCTCTCACTAACACTCGTTTTTCTGAGTCTCATCCTCACCCTTCTCAATCTCAATGTCACTATCTAACCTCATCCCTCTCTCACCCCTATTCTCTTTCTCAAAAGAAAAAAAAAAGAAATAATTACTCACGTGTTCGAATGTTGGACGATGATAAAGAAGACGCGATCATGTTGAAGACTGAAAAGAAAAAGAAAAAAAAAGTAATTAATGTTATATTATGAGAAAATATTAGTTAACTTACCATTTGTTATCTTTTCCTAGTTGATAATAATCATAGAACCTAAAACAAAAAACAACAAAATAAAAGATTAAAAAAAATTACTTAGCATCTTTGATTTCTTCATATTCATCTAAAAGAAAGAAAAAATTTTAAAAAAACAATTTTTACTTACTTTCAATATTTAATGGCTAAAATAGAAAAAAACAAAGCTTAAAATAGATCAAAAGAGGACTTACTACCCTCCATGTGATCCAAAAGAAAAAAAAGAGAAGAAAAAAAATGAAAAACTGATACATATATTTTATTTTATTGCTTGACGTTGAATTGTATAATTTTGTATTGTTGAAACCAATCTAAAATATAAAAGGAGACGATTATTATGTGATTCAATAAATTGAATGATTTTCTATGTAAAATCATTCATATTTATATCCTCATGATGGTTATTGAGAGAGAAATTACTTTTTTCCTTTGTCATAGGAGAGTAATTAAAAGATGAATCTCATTAAGCTTTAATCGGGACACACAGATACATTGAGATAAAATTCAATTACAACTATCTTAATGTATGGGTGTGGATAAAGCTTAATTGATATACATATTAATTATGCTATGTTATCATTGATCATCAATGATAACATGAACGACGACTTATGGACGAGAGAAGACAAAAAAGAAAATTATTCTCTTGACCTTTTTCTTTCTCTCTCACTTTTACATTTTCAATATGTGTACAGAATAGACGAACACGTCCGCACACTCACATGTAAGGTATGTTGTCATTTGTTATGTTGTTTTTCTTTTAGAGTCTGTTGAGTTACTTGTGAAAATATTTTGTTGTTGATAGGCTCGAACAATGTTATTATGGCAAAAATTAGATTTGCAGAAAAGATCATGAAATGACCCAGTCTCAAAGATTCGATATTTTTCAAAGATTTTACTCGTCATACACTTAAGAAAAAAATCTATGTATACTTCTTCGACAAACATTGTTTGATTGTTCGATACAATAGCAAAGTCTGAATACGAACTCGCTTCTCAACAATCAAACAATAGTTTTCAAAAAGAATACGTAATTTTTTTTCTTATTTAGCAGTCGAATAAAATCATAAAAAAAATTATCGAGCTTAACGAGATTGAATGCCTGCGGCCTTTTCAGTTTTCATAGACAATTATGGAATTCTTCTCGCACTAAACTATTGGACACTGTTATTGAATTTTAATTGCAACAGGGATGAACTAGTTTAATTTCCTTGCGTTACATTAACTCATTTATACACAGCGTTACTTTCATTTTCGGATGAACTACTTTTTTAATTCGAATATTGTTTTTCACATAACTTTTATTTTTTTCTAATAGATTTTAGAAAATTTTATGCTAAAACAATGGAAGCGTTTTATATATTGCATGAAAAAGATATGGATGCTCGTTTTTATGTTTATCTTAGGGTAATTTCATTTTATTGAATAGATAATGTAAAAAATAAAAAATTATTTCGAATGGATTCATAAACATAAAGCTCAATTACGTGGACAACATTAGCTGCATTTAATGATACGACCTATTAAATGTTTACTTAAATATACATCAACATCATATATTGATTATCAATTATTAATTGATTTATTGGATTAATAGTATTGAGATTTGTCTAGTAAGAAAGTGATTCCGACAGTATTAAGTACGTTTTGTTGTTATTGTTAAATTTTTGGTCAGAGTTCCTTGTTATACATCGTGATTATATAGAAAAATTTCAAATTATTGAACTTTCACAAGAATTAGCAACAGCACGAACACATTTAATCGTTTCTTTTCTTCAATTGTCTTGAATATATGTTAAGAACACCTAGTATGAAAACATTGTACTTATTCAATTAAGGAATATTCGAAGTTTATTTGATATTCAACTATTATCATTAACAATTGATGGTAAAATTATTGACAGTTTTTGTTTCGAAGGAAAATAGAGTGAGTGTAAGTTTTAGAGATATGCTAGACGAAAATTTGGACGTTTGCTGAATTCTTACTCATCATATTTTCATTGGAATTTATTTCATATTTCTCAAGGCATCCTGATGGTGAGCGTTTATGAATAAGTCATTATAGACTTTTATCATAAGAGTGGCAACTATGAAAGATCAGACCTGTATCCAACTAGCTCTATTGGGAACTACGAGAAAAGCAGTTGTTCCAACTGCAACTGAAAGTTATAGTTAAATATTCTATGGCTTTAAGTGTATGAGTAAAAAAACACGAATATTGAAAACCTTTTTAGATGTGATAAGAGTCAATTCTGGAATAGTTTTCTCTAGACGGAAACACACCCTCATATCCTTTTTGGGAGATAATAAAGGAAACTCACCCAAAAGAAGTATAGAGACTCGAGTATGGAAAAATATGAAACTCATAGTAATTTTAAAAGCTAAAAAACGGAGTAAAATCTAATTTCTCACGCATTTCTTATGATCTAATAAAAACTTTTCACTTCAAGTATTTTGTATGAATATAATGAGAGTAAAGAACATATGTAAGTTCTATATTTTAGTTCTTAACAAGTTGTATTGGCACAATCTCTATTTTTATTTTATAAAATTTTTCTTATTAAAGAAACTGAAAAATTCGGAATACTTTGTTTGATTGAAGGTCAAATACGTCAACATATATTTCGTGTTATTAATGAAAATACAAATACTAGTAGTCATAGTTCAAAATGTTATTTTACTGATTCAATGTCTTCACTATTATCGATTTCAACATTATCGAATAATACTCATCATCATGGAAGTAATAAAACTTATGTACTTTATCAGTTAGCTAAAGCGATTCTCGTAATGTACAATTTTTATTTTAGTCTTCACTTATTCAAACATCACTTGAGAATTTAGACATTGGTTCAGATTTACGTTCAATTAATTGTCTAAATTTATTAGACTTCGCATTTGAACGGTTTGAAAATTTTCATTTTTTTTTAAATTAATTAATGTTGAAATTTCAGTGGTCTTCATAAAGCGAAGAAACGATTAAGTCTAGCTATTCCATTCAGTCCATGATTCAAGTAAATAAATGAGTGTATCATTAAGACAAGTAAGTATTTCAAATGAGAATTTCTCATAATTAAAGTAAAATATTCAGAAAATTTCGACTCATCTAACAACTGATAAAGGAATCGGAAATGCGTGTGCTCCCTAAAGTTTTAGTCTACTAGTGAAACTCATCGTGATATCTCATTAGTATCAGAAATAGCCAGAAGAGAAGATATCGTACCAGCGACTAGTGCTTCAATAGAAAGATTATTTAGCTCAGCTTGATTAACATTGACTCAATGACGAATACGTTTATGATCAAGTCAAAATTTTCAAATATATTATTTATTCTTTCTTGTTGTCTACCTGTTGATATTGATTACATTTTGAATAATGAATATTTTGAGTTTTTGTTTTATTCAGCTTATGAAATAGTATGGTGACCGAATATTCTGATTGGTTTTTTCGTTGTTTTGAATTTAGTGATACTTAGGTCTGACCAAAAGTTGTGTCATCATTAAGTAAAAATATAAAGATAAGGAGATATTTTTAATTTTATTTTATCAAATGTTGAGGATAGTTGCCAGTATTATTTATTACAAGATCAATCTTTTCTAGCAATTAATAAAAAGTTTTTTTTGAACTATTTTTGTGTAAAATTGTTAGCTGCCTTGGTAACCGCATGAACACATCATATTTCATTTATTTAATCGGTTAGACTACGTCCGACACAATCACTTAAGCATAGATTACATAGTATCAGGTCTGAGAAATATGATAGATGTGACATTATATTGATGTCTCCTTCTGTCAAATAATTAATAAAATTGGACGAGTATGAAGTCAACGATGATCGTCAAGTAATTTTGAACATTTTGAATCTGA